GATTTTCCTCGAAGGCAGACCTCATAGTCTTGTGTAACGAATTAATTAACGAGAACAAAATAATGTATCGAAACTTATAATAATAATATATCCAGGGCATCGACAACAATATATTCAATAGGCAACATTGTCTAAACAGTTAAACGTGTAATTTTTCCGTAAGTTTATTGTACTTTTGTATATAAAATTTCGGGAAATCAGGGAAAGCATTTCAAAATATTAGTGTTAAATCCGTGACATTCAGAAGTACCAGACTAGGTTAGTTAGGTTATTTGAATATGCCAAAGCCACTACAGATATTTGCTTAAGAGGACGGATGTCTTTGTGAAACATTTTCTGAAGGAAACTGGCGTATTCACACTATACATGGAGAAAACCCTGAAAGCCGACCAGGTCGTTAGTCTAGACTCCAGCCAAAACCAGGTATTTAGCAATACTTCGCTATTGCCAGTAATCAGCGCTCGCTGCCCAGTTGGTATAGATATTCGGAGAGCTTAATACGATACCGAAGGGCCCGGGTTCGATTCTCGGAGAAGGCATGGTCTTCCTTCCAAAGTAGGTAACTGCAGCCGTCTCTTAGGTGCTTCCACAATAAAACGACCACCACATTCGGCCTTAGAAGTGGCCAATGTAGAAAAAAAATAGTGCCCGCTGTTCGAAAAAAAAAAAAAAAAAAAGTATTCAGCGCCAAGCTTCTTGTAGAGATCAGAAGTACCAGCATATACCCGTTAAACAATTCCTTTGCGAATATTAAAAACTTTGTATTGAAAGATGAATATCGAAGTAGCTTTAAGTCTACATTTAAAAGGACATTTTAGAAACTGTTCAGTTAAAATGTGTTAAGCTGGCATTAAGGCTACATTTCATTATTAGAGTAATGTGATTGAGATAACTGTTTCAATATTGCTGGTATGTAAATTAATGTTTTTGTTGGTGTAACTTATCTTACACTAACATCAGAACAAGCCCACAAAGGTCATGCTGCCAAAGAGTGGAAGATTGCGGCTGTCGTTGGCAAAAGCCTTTAACACTATACAGGGGACAATACGACCTTTTTCAGATCCGCCTCTAATTTTGACGCAGAGCACCCAGGGGGGGGTCCGAGGGTCTCCCAGACCTTTTACCCTAGCACAAACTTCTTGAGAGGACTTTCGACTCGCCTCATATTTAGAGTGCCGTCATGCCGCACAGATGCTATACTACATCTATAAACATCCATGCTTTCTCCAGGATTCGAGCCCGGATCCTACGACACTCAGCGTCGCTAAACACTATTCCACTTGGCCAGCATGTAAATTAGCTGTGTGAAATCTAAATCACATTATTAGCTGCACAAGCATCTTCCAAAAAATGAAAAATACAAAAATTTAGCTTCAGCTTTGAACCTTTTCAAGAATAAAATAGGAAGGACAACAAAAAATAGCCTGCCTTAGGCAATAATATGGCAAGATAGTTGTTTTTCTGATTGGATATGAACAGGAAAGTAAAATAAATTTGGTATAGTGCTTTAGATATACCATAGGTGGACAGAAATTAAGGATTTACGACCTCTTCCAAAGAACATGGCATCCATATCAACGGCAGATTATTTTTTCTGCCCTCCCTTGTATTTTTCTGATCTAACTATGTCAGAAATTTTTGAGAATATAAATCAGAGTGATAAACTTTAGACACAAAATTCATATTTGAACGTATATTTGAAACAGAAATTGAAAAATCATTTTTACAATGAATGCTCTAATTACTTTAAATGATTTTTTTCTCCTATTATTTGTCATTGATCAAGCGCATAAATTACAAGTATTCTAACTTTAATGTAAAAGAGTTAATGACGTTTTTAAAGTCTAGAATTAACAAGATTATGTAAATTCTTAATTCCCTCTTGAAAATGTTTTATTAATAGCTTATTAATTTCTTTCTCTAATATTCTTTTACTTTATGCAGTATCCTTTATAAAACATACAACAAAACGACTTATTTTATCCGTAAGTTTAGGTTCCAAATAAAATAGGGCAAAAAGTGTATGCCAAATTAACGAACTAGCACCTAATTAGACAAGAAATGTTTGTTCAGAACTTAAATTGTGGTTTTATCTTAATGATTTGTCAAATGAAAATGTCTCCCTAGAGTAATTAAGTAGTTTGTCTTGAATCATTGCTTGTTTCACAAGCCCGATAGACTCTGTATTGTGCTAAGAGATAATTATGAGACTATCAGAAATTACAATCTTTTAGAGTGGCATTATCTCTTGGATCATCATCCTATGATAACTAGTTTATAATCGGGTATCAGTACAGCACCTTTCCTATCATTACTTTGTGTAATTTTACTTGCATCGATGTGTCCAATACGTCCAAATGCAATTTCGGTGAGTTACAATCTGTCTTGTATCTAGCGTTCCTTCATATTACATATTCATTCATGGAAGCAGTATTCTTATTAACTAATGAACACAAAGCTCAACATTTCTTTTTTTTTTTTCATTTTAACAGAAACAGACGTCGCAACGAGATAAACATAAATTTTCCTATCGTTTTGGTTTATTCGTTAAAAAAAAATTAGAAAATTTCTATTTTAATTTTACTTTTGGAGAACTTCGTCAGTTTCTTAAAAGAGTTTTATTTGTTTATCAAGTACAGCACAAATCAAGGAAGACCACATCTTCTGATTACTTTTAGTTAAAACCATATCTGAACTTTCAGAAGGTTTAGTTACGGTAAAACGAAGGCTTTCTGTCTAAGGGGAGGTACGCCTTAGTGGAGGAAATTGGTTTGCATCACAGTACGCATGGGAAAAACAACGAAAACGCTCATGCAACCAGCTCGTTCGTTGGGATTTGAATCTTGAACCAAACTACCAGTGTTCAAGCGATTTTACTACTCGGCGGCTGGTGTGTGATTTCATATGGAGAGGAACTCTTTCGAAATAATACCGACTAAATTTTTTTGTGAAACAAAGTGCATATTTAACTTAACATTTTCACCATTTCTCATTATAGTTAGCCAAATGAGTAACATTTCAATGATGATCGCACTTCTCAAATTAATTTTAGTTAAAACATTCCCTGATCTTTCAGAAGGAGAGGATCACTTTCGAAAATACCAACTGAATTTTGTAATGTAACTAAGTATACACTTAACTTAATTTTTTCACAATTTCTCCTTGCAGTTAGCCAAATAAGTACGTAGAATTTCGAAATCTATCTATTTATGATACACGAGAGAACTAATCTAAAATTAAGCTTAATATGAAAGCAAGAACACAGCAGACATTTCTAATTCTGATATTATTATACGCTCTAATTTGTACAATAATAACATATATTCACTCGTCTAATACGAAACACGAGGTCATTGAAGAACAACCAAAATTATTGCCCACTTGAGAACACAGATAAATTGTTATACGAGTGTTTTTGTAATGAACGTAGAAAACGAAGCATTTTTCTGCGGGGAAGGTGGAGATAAAAAGTTCGAATTTGCATATTCAATGTGTCACTTCATAAAGTCTATGAATGGACCTTCTAAGAAGATATTTCATCGCAAGTAAGACAAAACTAGAGAGGATCACAAGTTATGCAGTCAACCAAGCAAATATTTTCCTAGCAAAATCCATGCATTGCGGAAGCAATGACGCATTTCGAGTGTGTGTGGTGGGACTGCTGCATTAAATCAGTTTCATTATCAGGAAGCACGTAGATGATGATTATTCTTGGTGGAGGTTCATGATACTTGGCACTAGAAACTTCTTTTATTAATTACAGAGACGGTCATAAAATTAATAATTATAAATTTTATGAATTAGGTGCACTGCATATCCTACGCATTGTTTACATAATTAATCAAATAAAGATGTAAATTATAAAAAAAAGTGTACTTTGCTTTCATATCGCTGTTTTTTATCCAAAAAAGACTTAATTTGAAAACAAATTAAAGACCTTATACTATGGGTAATCTCTGAGAACTCTTATTTTCCAAAACGTCTGTATGATAAACTACTGTTCTTCAAATAGTAACATTTACAAAGCTCCACATAAGATAAATGTTACTCATCAGGATGAGATATGGCTAAGATATTTAAATATGGCAAAACACACAAAGGATATCTCCCTAAAGAGAGGAATGCTTTCGTTGAGGCCTTGCTAAAGGAAACTGGCTGGTATTCACGTTACACAAGGGAGAAACCACGTAAACAAACCATACAGCCAAACTATTCGTATGGGTTCGAACTTCTAGTATTCAGCGGTCTTGACCACTTATCCAATCGACGGGCGCCGCAAGAGGTGGAAATATTAAGTTACAGGTATTGCTGAAGCAATAACTAAGCATTTTCATATTTATTAGCCCAAGGAAGTTAGCCCAGATGGGCTATTAATTTCGTCATCGCATTTTGTGTTGAATCACTATAAACGGCGTATCACTTTTTCAAATTGTTGCCACCAAATGTTAGAGCATTGGATTATATCTAAAGAAATCATGTAATGAAAAATATGCATAAACGTATGTATGTTTCTCGCATTGTGATAAAACAACTGTACCTAGAGGCATCCAATTTTGAATAACGTAATCTTTCACAAAATATGGGTATTTGTAAAATTCTTTAATTATCGATTTCATATTTTGTAATACTAACGATTTTTGATTAACAAACTCAACGATTTCTAAACGAGCAATGGCAACACTGTACGGGAAAAAAAATCATCTCCAGCACGCGAGACTATGTATCGGGAATTTTAAAGATATGCTCATTTTAAAATTATTTAAAATTATCTTGCGATATTTTTGTCGAATTGAATTTTATGGTTTAAATGCGAAGAACATGGTATTTAATAAATAAAGGTAACACACAAAACGTTAAAAAAAGTCCCTTTGGCCTTAAGGTAAAATCTGAAACTTACAGATTTTTTTAATGTTATTTGTGTATTTAAAGAAATACTAGAGCGTCGTAATATCTATTCCTGTTTCTACTATGAGAAAAGTTCTTTACGATAACTTACTTACCTGTAGGTACCACTGTAAAAATGCACGGTTCTTTCATTATTCCAACTGCATTTTTTGCAAAGCAGTTTAGAACTCCATAATCGAGTCTTGTTCTAGGAATATATCTAGCTACACTTTTCAGAGGTCCGTCATTGTTGTAAGAAAGAATATCTACTGATTCAGAAAGACTGTTGTTGAATGTCCATCGAAATGCTACTTCAGGAGGATCAGCTTCAACCACACAACTGACATTTGCTTCTTCGTGCCTGGCTACTCCATACGTAATTTTCTGTTCTTTAGCGCAAACGGGCGAAACTAAAAAAGAAAAGAAAAAATACATATTTATATAAATGAATAAATACAAAGGTAAAAAAAAGTACTAAACCTAATCCAGTTATGCTCTTACAGAAGCAACAAATGGTACCTGATGATGCAAACTATTTGTATTTATTCAGGTATGTATGTATTAACGCCCCTTGTAGCAATTCGGCGATTTTTTACAGATGAATAATAAAAGTCATTTAAGAAGTACAAGCTGGTTGTTTTCGTGACTTTTTGCAAAAATATGCAAAAAGTATCGATAATTATTGCAAATCGGCAAATATTATCAATGAATCAAAATTTCATATCAGCATGTGAAACATATTTTTTCAATTTAAAATAAAAAAAAAATTAAATTAAGATTATGCCATACATTAAAAAATAAAACACTTATATTAGTCTCAAAATAATTCTGGAATTTTCTGTGCTATTCTACTCCTTGAGTTCCCATCTTCCGAACTATTTGGTCTTCCGATATGTGGTAGTCGTTATTCGTGTGTTTCTGTATGTCTTTGCTTTATCATTTGCTATGCGGTTTAGTAATACCACATCAGCTTCTTGGATCAGGTTCACCCGCATACCTATTAAAGAGTTTTTGTTTTATTCCCAGTTTTGCCTTTGTTCCTTATTTTTTGGACCAGAAGTGTATTTATGGCATCATTCGTTAGTGACTGAGGTTATGTATTAGACCTCATGCATCTAATGTCAATCTAAGCAGTTATTATGATACAGCTATCAGCTTCGTCTTTCTGCATTCCTCACCAGAATCCTAATGAGTTAAGTGTGTATAAGCCGAGAGCTTTTGGATCTTAATGAGAAAGTTTCTATTAAAAATTATCAGTTTTCATGGAGTATTTTTGATGAGATCACGAAAGTGCCCATGCAGCTAGTTTGTTCTCCATGATTTGACCATGGGTTGAAGTACAAGTGTTGAGTCATTTACTCGGCTGCTGTTGAAACCGTGAAATCAAAGATATATGACAATAACACTTAATTTTATCTATAAAATGGCAAAGCCAACTGGTGGGAAAAAATTGCTGTGATACAGGTTATCATAAATTAATGTCACGGGGAGACTTGTGTACTTAATTGATAGAAAAATTTTATTGAGCACGATGGCTACAGGTACCAGCTGTCATATATTTAGGTTTGTGCTAGAGTCGTGGAAAAAGCATAAATGTTTGTAAATCCAGTTGTAGCTAACGGGCACTTGAAAACTAATCAAGTCGAAAGTCACTTCGACAGGTTAGTGACAGTTTGAAGAGGGGTAAGTAACACCAGCATTTTTTTAACTCGACATTCTAAATGAAAAAAGGCTTGGAGCGAGGTGAAACTAGACTCTCGTATATTGGGCTTCCAAAAGCTTGTCCAGTGACAGACACTCTCTGCTGCAAAATACTTATAACAGATTCCGGTTTCGTTTTACTGATAATGACAAAGCACACTCTGGCAATCTGCTTAAGAGGACGGTTACCTTCGTGAAGGACTTTCTAAGGGGAGATGGCTTGGATACGCACTACGCAAGGGTAGAACCAGGGAAACGCCCATGCAGGCAGCCCGTTCGCTTGGAATTGAACCCAAATCGGAACTACCAGTGTTCTGTGATTATCCCTCTTGTGGGCCTGTAACAGATTCTTCTTCGAGCTGAAGTCCTTTACACTTTGCAAGAATGATGAATTTTCAAACAAAAAACACTAAACACTGAAAGAGGTGTTTACCAGATTGAACGAACTCAATGCATAAATTAGATAAAAAATGAATTTATTAGTTTACTCTCATAAATAAAGATATATATCACAAGTGAAGCCAATCACAATTATATATTGCATATTATAAAACACTTATTGATCTAATGCCCCTATTTTAGCAACAAATTTGTAACCGAGTTATGCCATCATAAAATTAAACATTTATTGAATTGAAATAAAACAAATAGAATTATACATTTATTTTGTAATAAACACTTAAGATATCTCATCATAGTGTAAATACTTTTCTCTGTTATGCTTTCTGATGTACAGCAGAAATCAACATGTTTGAGATCAAACGACCTACATCTAGGCTGTATATTTCCACGCACATATTTACGACTTTGTATATATAGGTCTTACTAATGGACAAACCCAAATGCAAATCCAATTTAGCGCCTATCTGTAAACTGCCTCTGCGACCTCTATTAACGCCATATAATATATTTCATGCAGCAGAATTGCGCGCTGCGTCATTCATGAAGTCGAATAAATCGACTCAGCAGTCCTATCATTAAGCACCACACCCCGGCAGAAGCTCGTGGCCATCATCAACTGGTGGATTGTGGAGGTTAAACCTATCTTGAGTCATCTATCCATCTAGTTACAATAACAGAGGCCTGCACTCGACGGGAGGCGATCTAATCATCTTCGATAATCTCGGAACTCGTTCGGATAAACTGAGGCGCGCCATTAAAGGTTCGATCGGGCCCATAGAATTCCATAGTCGGCAATCAATGAAGCACGATCCAACTAGAGTGCTTATCGGGTGAGGTTGTTGTAGCACAAATATTGGGTTCTTGTGCTCAGTTCGTATATGTCAAGAGACAGGCTATTCATTGCGGAATGGTCGGTTTTGGCAGTTCTCGATAATTATTGGGCATGGGTGAATGGTAATGAGGTTGTAATAATTTTTGGGACTGGGATGAGAAATCAAAGATTTTACGTTAATGTATAGTAGTAATGATTAGAGATAATTGGAAGCAGATTTGGAAATGGAGATGGGTAATTTTCCTTAATGTACCTAATTAATGTTTTTGAATGGGCTGGAATATCTTACAACATATCGATTTTATTTGCGAAAACAGTATTAAATTGAGTGCAAATCGAAAGCTGTATTAGGTTTAGAGCAACGCAAAAGCATAGTGTCTATTTAATAGATTAACTGCTAAAACATTATGCAAAAGGTGTATTTTGTCGATTTACGGGAAGATTATATATTTAGTATGTATCTATTGTTTTGAGTAAAACGACTGCATTCAAAATAAGGCAGGTTGAAATGTTATTCACAGTGAGTTTGCAATTGCTATAAAATGTACTTGCACATCCTTATAAAAACAAAATAGTTCCTTTTAATGAATGGTAAATAAAAAGCATCAGTAATGAAACCTTGAATCTTATACACTAAGAAATAGTGCTTAATTCAAGTTTATTCTACATATCCCTAGGAAAAGAAAAGTAATTCATGAAAAAGAAAGCATTCAAATATAATACATTACATACAGTAAATATATTACAAGTCAAAAAGCTCAAGTTCCAAATCCAATTTAATCTCTAGAGAACTAAGGAGATACTAGCTCCTTTTTAACATATTTTTGTTAAAAAGTTTTTTTAACAAAAATATGTTAAAATGTTGTTTTATCTTCTGATCAAACCGAGATTTTAAAAAGATTTCATACAATAATTGTTATGGCTATTCCTCATCGAATGTGAATTTTAATCAACAATAAATAAATATATTTCAATAAAAATGAAAATTATATTATTTTACAAGAAATAAATGATAGCCTCATATCAAGAAATACTTGATTTTTTTTAGTGAAAATACTTCTTCCCAGTCACACAGTTAAAACAAGCATTTTCCTTTTTCATTGCATCTGTATTACAGTTAAATAAATGCTATTTAAAAATAATCAGTAATCATTAAAATTTTGCTTTTTTTTAAAACATATGCTAGAAAATATCCATTAAAATTTATAAATTTATCTTTATCTTTTTCAAATAATCTGTATTATTACTGTAAAATAAAAAAAGGATAAATTAAAAATATAATTTTGCTTTAAAATATAATTAATTAAATTCGCTGGTAAAAATAATGAGGAATACTTTAAAAAATTTAGTAGCAATAGCTATTCATATTCAGAAAATCCAGTGTTTTGACTCATATGCTGAACAGCATTCCTATCGTTCAGAATCTGGCAATAAAATCGTTCACATTCAAGCATTTCAATAAAATATGTGTTTTAGGAATTTAATTAGCTGCGATGGCGCTAGATTTTAGCTTCGAGCGTCCATTTCTGCATTTTTTGCTTTAGGTGTTTTATATGTGTATGTAAAATATAAAGTACGAAAGACAGCCGCTAACAAAATTACTAACTTAATTCGCATTTAGACCTTAAATTCCTTATTTGAATCTGAAGACAACCCCCTTCGTATCTGCTTTGACGTTTGCAGTATTCGCTTTGCGAAATCTCCTGCACAATTATATACAACTAACTACGCATCCTCTTTTACCGGCTAAACTTGCTTGCTAAATAATGTCTCTTCGCTTAGCCGCATTCTTCCAATGTTCTAAAATGTAACTGCATATATAAAATTGTGGGCCGTTTAGCACCACTAGTGTTGTACTAGTTGAGAAAAATTGTGTTTTTAAAGAATTTTTCTTGCTAAAAAGAAGTAGTTTTAACCATCAAGCTAGTTGTACTTTGCGAAAATTCCAGTAATCTTCGTCTTCTCGGACGTAATTAAAAAGTGAACTGGTTTCATCGTTAATTAAGCTGTCATCTAATCAAGGGTGTCATCTAATCATGTTTTCAGGGCATCTAATTAGATATATCAGGGAATAATAGTTTTGTTAGGTATAGCTAGATTTGTGCATGGGTGTGTGATATCTCTCTCTCTTATTATATATAGATATAATTGAAAAAGAAATTGTAAAGCTAACAAGTAATTAGACGTAAGACCTATTTGGTCTCATAAATTTTTTGCGCGTAATGCTGCAAAAAGATATGAAATAATAGTAGTAGGTAGAAACATTGCAGCGATCTTGCTAAAAAGTTACCAGGAGCTGTTGCTCCACGAAATATTTCAACGCTGTATTACTAAAATATGAACTAAGAAGAAATTTTTTGTCTGGAAAAAACTGTAAACACGCGAAAAAAATGCCAAAATTAATGTTGGAAGACATGCTAATGCACGAAAAAATTAATCTGACGGTTGTGATATGTGAAACGTTAACACACATAA